AACGATGAACTTTTTTTCCTTAATTTTACCGATTTTGTAGAATTCAAATAAAAAAAAAAATCATTGAATTTCGCCTAGTGGTCGTCAAGATATCTTCATTCAAAGTTGAAAAAAAAACTCAACGTCTATCAAAATAGAAGCTGCGCCAAAAGTTTTCAACTTTTGAGCGATGATATCTCGATAACTATTAGACCGCGCTAGGTTAATTTTTCGTTTTGCATAACATGGAATCAGAAATCAGAAAAACTGGGTCGGATTTTTTTTTTTTTATCTATTGTAAATTAATAGACTCATATTCATATCTAAGGCTATACAAAGTTAATTTTTCGTTTGAATAGCATGGAATCAGAAAATTGGGTCAGCACTGAGATTTTTTCTATTGGTCCTATCGGCGAATTCCGTGAAACCAAGATCTCTATCGGGTGATATCGGATAGAAGTGATAGAAAATTAAATGGCAAAAATAGAATAATTGGCGAAATTGGAACTTTAAAAAAAAAAAAAATTGAAAAATTGAAAAAATGGGTCGGCGGTTATGCAAACGAAAAATTAATTTTGCGCGGCCTTAGCCTAAATTATTATTATTTTTTTTTTTATTTGAATTCTACAAACCATAGAATCCAAATTAAAAAAAGTTCATCAAATTTGATCTCAACACTCAAAGTTGGATGAAATCTTGGCGCAAATGTTATTTTGATAGACATTTTGTTTCCAACTTTGAGCAAAGGTACTAGGCCAAATTCGATGAACTTTTTTTGAATTCACGAATCCATAGAATTCAAATAAAACAAGTTCGACGAATGTGGCTTAGTGGTTGTGAGTATGGAGATCAAATTTGGGGTATGAATATCAATTCCCTATATGTGTGCTGCAGAGCGAAAACCTGTAACTGATCATAGTGATTTACTATGATCAGTTACAGGTTTTTGCTCATATTTTTAATGTGAGGGGGGAGGATAATGTAACACACAGAATCAAATTGGTCTCGCCTTATCATATGCTAATTTACCAATAATATTGCTCCTACATAATAATCCCAAATTTTTTTCTTGATGTTTTATTTTATTCTTCTAAGCATGTATTAGTTTGAAATAACTGGTCTAACACATTAAAAGATAAATTTGTAGATATCGATTCATCAATCATGTCAATAAAATTAACGTTAAGGTCAAAAGTTTATTATGGTAATTTAATCATTATTGTTATCACTATAGTATCAATATTATATACTAATTTTATTTAGTATATCGCAATCTTTATAAATATCAAACCTAGAATCTCATAGACAGAAGTTCGTCTGATTGGCTAATAAATTCAATTTAATTTTACATTATTTATAAGTTTAGAGTACTTTTTAAAAAAAACGAAAACCAACCATAATAAAATAAAAAAAAAACTAAAGCGATAGTAATCAGACAAACTTATCGTTATGAGAATCAGCCAAGAATCGCCCCCAGAAGTTCGGGTGATGATCCACGAAATTGCCGTAGCAGCTGTAGCATACATTTTATTTCATTACTAACACGAATAAGTGAAGTTATCTAATTTTTATTATTTGAAAATGGTTTTTCTAATAGAAAGTCTAGATTCTTGGTTAGTCAAAATAGATTTTTGATTATCGGCAGTTGCTGCGGCACTTTCGAATTGTCACCTATCAATGATACGTAGATCATCATCACGCGAGGCGATCCTGGCTGATTCATCAAACCAATAATATTTCGAAAAATAAAATTATTTTTGCTTTTAAAATCAAGTTTACCTCATTATGGTTTATTGTTTTACAGCTATTATTGTTATTGTGCATGACCCTTGATCTGACCCATTCTCGTACATATCGTACAGATTACAGAAATTTCATGAAAAAAGACGATATTAGCAATTATTCTAATCGTAGTCTTTAAGAAAATTTTAATATCGATATAAAATTTTGATTAGATTTTTTTCCGTGTAACATTAAGAAATTCTGCTGATAAACTGCTTGAAGAACAAACTTTGGGCCTATGTAATTTTAAAGTACATTACTTAATTAACATGATTAAATGTAGGGCTCTGCATGCTCGGCACATGCCTGTGCCTAACAATAAATTTAAAGTGCAGGCGCACTCAGTACCTGCCTAAAAACCAATATGCATTGCATAATAGTTTAACGCAATTAATAAATTTAATTAATAATACAATAATAATCAATATTATATTTGTCGACACCTAATCAAATGCGTATGATAATAATAGTTGCTGGACAATAATACTGTCTGATTCATTCATTGATCTACACTCATATCACTGTACCGATATTTTTTTTTACCCATCATATGATAACTTATAAATATAATTTAATGTAAACAGGGAGAGATGTCCTAAATTGATAATGTTGCACAACTGGTAATTATATTCTACGATACACAAACTATATTAGAAAGCTTTGATAAAATGAATGAATTAACTTTTTTACTTCGGCTTATAACGAACTTCTCATTAATCTATTTTAATTCCACAATCTCTTGCAATCTGATTGGTTAACTTGCTAAAAGTCATAAAAGTCACGATATTATTTGTCAGCAATCATGTGAAAGAATATCGGAGATAAAATATATTGATCTACATAAAGCATAAATTATTGATCTTCCCTATGAAGCAGGAATGTATCAAAAAGGTAACCCTAGGGACATCAAAAAAAAAGTAACTTCAACTGTCCCTCTTATTTGTGACGGACTTCCCTGTTAAGTAGTATGTTGTTAAATAGTATGTTGTTAAATAGTACGTATGTTGTTAAATAGTTATGTTGTTTAAGTGGTTTGTTGTTAAGTAGTATGTTGTAATGATATCGCAATTCGATCAGATTCCTTAGAGATTAGGTCATATATTGCGAGACATATGTATAGAGAAACATAATTTGATCAGATTCTTCAGGATATCAAGTCATGTGCAGTGTACAGTGAAATATAAATTTAGACTTTAAAGTCTTTTTTTGGTTTATTTGGTAGCACTTATAATCATTTCGTGATATTCGCATTCTAAAGTTAGTGACATTATATGATAGGTACTGTACGTTCTTTGAGATTACATTCCATCAGTTAAATTATAATTATTGTCATTTAATGCGTTTGATATCTATTTAATAAAAGAATCACCAATACCACAGAATAACTTTTATCAATATTATAGAGAGTCTAATACAACAATTTCACAATACCGTAGAGCGTCAAATTCTATTTATATCATACTACTTTCCTAATAATCCCTTAGTTAATATTTTTGACGCTAATGTCAAATTCGGCATGGTAAGGTTTATATTTAGAGATTTAGATTTTTTGCTAAGGAAAATAAGACAAGTAGCTTAATTTATTTTAAAAATAAAAGATCATCCATTCGGTCGATTGAATTACCGTTGTTAATTTAATGTTGCTCAACGGTAACACCTAAATATGTTAATTAATTAGTTCAATACCATAAATTGCTTGGGTAAATTTTATGAAGTTCCGTGAATCAACCCAGGTTGTCAAATAAATTTAACGGTTTTTAGTGGTCCAAAATTAGCAAAAAATTCCCCTTTTTTGATTACAATTAGTAATGAATAGCGAAGAGTATGTAATGCAACCATAAATAATTAATAGAAACCTTTGATTTTTTTTTAAAAAAAATATATTAATTTAATGATTTTATTTTAAAAAAAATATATTAATTTAATGATTTTATTTTTAAAAAAATATTAATTTAATGATTTTATTTTAATGTTATAATTGTTCTTTTCTTTTCCTTGTTCTTATCTTTTCCTAGTAGAGTAATATATACTTAATGCTAATGTTTAATGTGTCAAGATGCTTAATAACACGTTTAATGACGTTATTAATGACATTATAATGACATTATTAATGACATTATTAGTTGACGCTTTCAAAATCTTTGATTTTAAACGTATTAAAACGAATTATTTGCTTATATAAATTAATTCATTTGTTAAAATGAAGATCAGGAACGTTGTACATATGTTTCAGAAAATATGGATAGAGAAAATTATGATAGGAAAATTTCAATTAAGTTAACCCATTTTAGCAAAAAATCGTTAGTTTCAATTAATCCATCTAACCTTGAATCTAATATATACAATATACAATAAATTTCTTTATATATAAAGAATGGAAAATTCTGTTTCTCAATTTCATTTACATTTCAGTCAAAAGAATTTTCTTAAAACATTTTTTATTTCCTGACACAAAAAAAGACAAAAACTAAGATTTTTGCACAAGATCATTTAGGAAATATATAGAATGAAATCCATTATCAATATTACATTTTTATTTATCTGCTTATCAATCCAGTTATCAGCAAGTCAGCTTCAAGGGGAATGGCCACCAATCGATAAATCACCACCACCAACAGAAAAACACTTACAAAAAGTAGATTTAACAAAAGTTGCAAAAGCTCCTGTTCGAAAATCGGCTTCCGAATGTCCAGACAATGACAATGACCCATTCTGTACTTGGAGTTGTACAAATTGTATTCGTAGTGAAACTGATGTTGTTATGTGTCCGAATGCAGGCGGTGAGAATTTTATGTGGAGAGCGTAAAATTCAATATCGTATCGAGTTAATAATATAATTTATTTTTTAATCTTTTAGATTGGGGGATTACTCTTGATGATGGTCCGAGGTAATTACATATAAAAACAAATTCATTTAATCACATGTTTAATTTCAATAACATTCGAACTAATTTTAAAATCTTTTATTATACAAAGTGAAAGTACGCCCGATATTCTTACATTTTTAGATGCTCAAAATATTAAAGTTACCTTCTTTGTTGTTGGATCTCGGGTATATGAAAATCCTGAAATCGTACAAAGAGCATTTAAAGCTGGTAAATTTAGTTTAATTTATTCATCATTCTTTTTTTCATAATTTTTAATAATATAAATTATTTATCATTTATCGTTTATCAAAGGTCACCAAATTGGTGTACATACATGGTCTCATCCAAGTCTCACTACTCAAACTAATGAACAAATAATTGCCGAGTTAGAATGGACTGCTGATGCAATAGTAAAAGCGATCGGTGTCAAACCAAAATACATGCGTCCACCATTTGGTGATTATGATAATAGAGTACGTGATATATGCAAACAACTTGGTTATAAGATCGTAATTTGGGATAGAGATTCCTTTGATTGGTTATCTGATAATAATCCATCATTCCAAGCATCTTTGATTGAAGCAAACTTTACCCAATGGGTCAAAGAATCATCTAATAATACTGGTCACATTTCATTGCAACATGATTTATTTAAACTTGCTGCAGAGCAAGTTCCAAAGGTAATTCCTATTGTCACAAATGGTGGTTATAAGATTCAACCAGTTGGTACTTGTCTGGGTGATAATAACTTCTATCAAGGTAATGTCACAACTCCGGAGCAACCTTCTGCTTCTGTAAGTCAACCAACAAATACGCCAAAAACGCCGAATGCATCTATAGAAAATTCATCATCATCATCATCATCACCACCACCACCAAGTTCATTGCCAGAAGGTACATCAGATGCAACTACTAAACAATCATTAGCTGTAAAATCAACGACTTTGGATCATTTCACATGGTCAATTATTATTGGTGCAATGGTTTTTACTAGTGCTTTCTTTAAATAAATGTGTGCGGTCATGGGGTATATTAGAGCTTAGCCAATGGGTGCTAGAATCTATTTTTCTTGTTATATTTAGCGTTTAGACTCTCTTTTTTTTTTTTTCGCATATTTAATTTTTGTTAATTCATTCATAAAAAGACAATAAAATTTGATGGTTTGTATATAGAGATTAGAATCGATAGATTTAGAACTAAAATCAAAAATCAGATTGTACCTTCTGTTTGCTTTTTCAACTCCTCGTAATGACTAATATAAATGTTTGATTAAAACAATTTGTTCGGTAATTTACTCACCGATTCCATTCTTTACTTAACCTTGTCCGAACTCTCCACACATCATTTATTGGTCTCCAAAATATGACCTTCATTATATTAGTTTTGATTTTAGATTACACCTGATCTTGAAATTTGATTTGACTAGACAGTAAATCGAAATGTTTAAATAAGATTCATTATAATAAAACCCTATAATCAACCTTTTTTTTTATTGAATTTCACGTTATACTTAGTTCATTTGCAATTTAATTGGGTTCACAGAATTTTTTAGGTGGACATAATAATAATCCGTTTGTGATGAGCATAATAGAGGTTAACAAAATGTGGAGTAATATTCAAAATTCTCTAGTCTAAAAGTATACGTATAAATGCAATTCTATTATATTTATGCAGTCTGGATTATACCTGTTGTGGCTTTGCCGAAATTTGTTGGCTTTGAAAATAATGTCGTGAAACGTAATTCATATCATTACAGCTTTGTTTATATGTACGTATGTATCGGTATTAAAACTTTGGCATCTTTTTTTATAACAATAGATTATTTTATACAACTTAAGTAAGCATTATTGACAGTTGATGAAAAAATCGTGTGTTCATTACCTAATGTATATATATGGCCGTGTGAAATTTTTTCCGTGATATTTTGTACAACTGAAATTCATTTAATATAAATATATGTATTTCCTATTTAGTACATATATATTACATTTATGAATGCGATTTGCACGATACTTAATTTTGTGTATCAATTGTATAATATATTTTCCTTAGGTTTAGACACTTTTATATTTCGTCTTATGTTTAGACGGCTTAGTTCAGGCGTATAGAAATAAATACGCAATGAAGAATATCTCCCTAATTAAGACAAAGTATAAATTTTATGAGTAATACGTATAGTTGTGGTGTATGAGTGAGCAAAAGAGTTGCGTATAATACATTGAATTAGCAAACACGTGTGT